AAAAACGCATGATCTTTTCATGGCACTTTTAAACTGTTCAGGTGCGGAAGCGGATCATATCCGCGCCCCGGAGATTGACTGTCGGCCACGAAACGCTCGTCCCGGTAGCCGACCCAGTTCCGTGCACAGAGGCTGCGGCCCCAGGTAGCGAAGGTTGAAGTTGATGGTTCCGCCCTCGGTATATGCAATTTAAGCGAAGTTTATCGCAGCTCACCCCGGCCGTTCCCCTCAAAGCCCTGCAGCTCCCCGCAACGCCCTCTATGCCGATCTGCAACCCCCTATCACGGCGCGAGAGAATCAGTCCCATGAGCTGAGTGACGACCTTCAACCCGTTACGCCCCAGCGTCCGTTCAACCTGCTCTCTCGAGCAGAAAAAGATATAGGTCACAGCGCATGATGGTAAAACCAGCGCATTAACCGCTATCTCACCCGCGTTTCCCATCGCAGAGTAACTCATCGAAACCGCAATCGTGCAGGCCCGGCCAGAACCGGAATACCGAGAGGCTGATGCCGATCGATCCGCGATCCGCATTCCGTCCTTCTTCGTCGGCGGGCGAGGCACCCGACATCTTTCCGTGCATCATGTTGAACCCTATGGCAAGACCATGACGCCCCGCAATTCGCAGGGCCGGAAGCGTTATGCCGAAAAATCGAATATCAGCCTGCCGAGCACGATGAAACAGAGAACGATCGCCAGCGCCGTAACCACTGCCTGCACTGCGGTTTTGCGCACGGCCCCGTCGTCCATTCCTGCTGTCATTCCTGTAAAGATAGCCGCGTTAGCCAGCGGATTCATGATCGCAAAATAGCCGCCGATCATGACCAGTGCGTGACTCACCAGATCATGCATTGTATTCGGATTTTACTTGAGGGGAAACGAATCGCCGTCAGCAACAATATGTACGGAGGCCAGGGCTTTCCGGCTCTTCACGGTCACTGACAGAAAAACGGGAGGGAGAGCGCAATGCGGTTGGGAAAAGCCAAAACTCCCGTTGCGGAACGGAAGTCTCGGTGAATTCTCAGAACCTGAACGTAGCGGCGATACCGGTTCGGGATGGCATCGTCTGCGCCGGAATGACCCTGACCACCCCGCCTTTCTGCAACACCAGTTCGCCGATATCGTCGAGCAGGTCCCCACGCAGCCAGCTCGCCGCCGACATCAGGAGAAACGGCGCCGGTAGCACGATCGGAGATTCCCTGAATCCGGGCGTCGTTGTCGATAAAGAGCACCGACACCTTGCCGGATGCCGCCGCCTGGGCGACATGCTCGATATCCGCCGAACCGAGGCCCCGTGCATGAGCGTCGGCATATTCGTCAGAAGAGCCTCGGTTCGTTGCCGGATCTGCGGTTCGACGATCTTCCGGGCCTTTTCAGCAGGGCCGCGCTTTCAAGGGGCACCGGGATTCATGACGATGCCTTCGTCCATCAGCCACTGGTTCTGGGATATCTGCCGGAACAGCCCCTGGTTTTCAGGCAGGGCTGCAAGCACCAGCGGAAGCCTGGAACGGCCGGAATGGTTTTCGAGCACGGCCTTGTCGACGATCCTGAAAAAAACCGTTCCGCATCAACCATCCTCGTCCTTTCTCGCGCCGTGGCCGTGATGCATGGCCGTCCCCTCGTTCCTCCGTAGGACGCCACCGTCTGGTGCGGCGACGTCACCAGTTCACCCAGGGCCTCGACCATGGTTCTCGGCACGCCTTCCGCCAGAGGAATCTCGTCGAGAGAGAGTCTTTCGTCCCCTCGAACAGCCTTATCTCGCTCCTCGTTAGCCGGAGAACCTGGTACCGTTCGTGAGACTGGAAAATCCTCACGAGCGGCTTCGTGTAAAAAACTGTCCGAAACGACGACGATATCCTTCACCTCGTCCTGAGCTTGTAAAGCCCGAACATCCCCCGGCGCACTGAGAAAGGCGAGACCGTCGAACGTATGGTTCCAGAACCGGTGATCTTCCGCCAGATCGTGGAACGGCTGAAGGAGCGGGCAACCTCCCTTTTTGGGATACATCTTCGCAAGCGACTCTCCAGTTTTTTGACAAGGTTCCGAATCGTATGGGGTCCTGCTGGTTTTCAGGATGGCGGCGGTGTGTTTTCTGATAGAGCGACAGGCATGGCGGTTCCTGCGAAGGAAAACGACCGCGGGATAATCTGAAACACGAGTGTTCATATACACAATCCCCTCTAAACTATGCTTCGATAACTATCGTGGACAATGGAGAAACGATCTGCGGGATCGAAACCACAGGAGCGTTTTTCTATAACCGGAGAAAAGCGGCGTTTGTTCCGGCAGGTTCTGGTCGGCAGTGAAGCGTCACGGGGCTGTAGGGGCGAAAAATCTTTCGCCCGTCAGCAGTCTCAGCGGCAGACAGGAGTGGGAGGAGGAGAAGGGGAGGTCTGTAAACGCCTTCCCGCTTAGATGCTTTCAGCGGTTATCCCTACCCAACTTGGCTACCCAGCAATGCCCCTGGCGGAACAACTGGAACACCAGTGGTTCGTCCATTCCGGTCCTCTCGTACTAGGAACAGATCCTCTCAAATCTCCTGCGCCCACGGCAGATAGGGACCGAACTGTCTCACGACGTTCTAAACCCAGCTCACGTACCACTTTAATTGGCGAACAGCCAAACCCTTGGGACCTGCTCCAGCCCCAGGATGTGATGAGCCGACATCGAGGTGCCAAACCCCCCCGTCGATGTGAACTCTTGGGGGGATCAGCCTGTTATCCCCGGCGTACCTTTTATCCGTTGAGCGACGGCCCTTCCATACAGAACCGCCGGATCACTAAGACCTACTTTCGTACCTGCTCGACCTGTCTGTCTCGCAGTCAAGCTCCCTTATGCCTTTGCACTCTGCGCACGATTTCCAACCGTCCTGAGGGTACCTTCGCGCGCCTCCGTTACTCTTTGGGAGGCGACCGCCCCAGTCAAACTACCCACCAGACACTGTCCCCGACCCCGATGCACGGACCATGGTTAGAACTCAAACATGAAGGGTGGTATTTCAAGGGTGACTCCACACAATCTGGCGACCATGTTTCCAAGTCTCCCACCTATCCTGCACATCATATCCCAAAATCCAATGTCAAGCTGTAGTAAAGGTGCCGGGGTCTTTCCGTCTTTTCGCGGGTAGACGGTATCTTCACCGCCATTCCAATTTCGCTGAGTCCCTGGTTGAGACAGTGTGGAAGTCGTTACGCCATTCGTGCAGGTCGGAACTTACCCGACAAGGAATTTCGCTACCTTAGGACCGTTATAGTTACGGCCGCCGTTTACCGGGGCTTCGGTTCAGAGCTCTAACCCCTCCTTTTAACCTTCCGGCACCGGGCAGGCGTCAGACCCTATACGTCGTCTTGCGACTTTGCAGAGTCCTATGTTTTTAGTAAACAGTCGCCACCACCTGGTTCACTGCGGCCCCCTTCAGCTCCAG